CTCACTAATTTTTCAATTTTAAAACAATTAAAAGATATTTAATGGGTCGTAATACTCTTCAAGATCATCTCCCACTTTCCCCCGGCGGAGATTTCGCCTTTACTGGTCCTAGTATCAGTCTAGGCACACCTGCGGAGAACACTGATCACCTTGTCTACACGTCCATCACAACTGGTCAAGGAGACAAACATACTTGAGAAAACACCAAATTTAAGGATATTCCCAGAAGAGATAGTTTATCGATTCAATCAGTATCCAAGAGTTTAAGATCATGACTATTAATAAGATAGCGCAATCCTTTAAATTTCTTTGACATGAACTTGACGTCCTAAATGATTTCACTAAATAGTTTTAAAATACCTCTAAAAGCATTTTTAAAGACGCGAAATGTAGAGGAAACCGGTGGACTTCCAGACTGATGCCACGTTTCCTGGGAGATCGACGTTGAGTCCGAAGCAGCATTGCGCTGAAGTTAAACTGGACGACCATTTAAGAATACTCAACTTTTTATAGTTTATGCAAAACTGTCTAGGTCTTTGTCCTGGAAATGGACACCAATCTATTACTGGATATATTCAAATCAGTACTATCAAGCTAAGGGGTGACATTTTCTACACTTTTGTTTCTTGTATGAGCTTATATAACCATAGTGCCATCCTCCACAGGACCAACAACTGACGACAGGATTCTTGACTATCTGTTATAACTGAACTGGATAGACGCCAACACCAATTTGTTATGATTGAATTGAATAAATCCGTTACACTTTGTTATGCCTGCGCCTGTTAATTACAGTAACGGTAATGAACTCGACTGATACGTTAATATGCCTATTTGTCCGTTGTACCTTCCGATTCACTGAGCCACGCAAATGTCAAAAGACAAAGACTGGCCTGTGACTGTAAGAGATTGTATGGGACATCTATTAGGAAAAAAACATCTTATTTATATATTTAATTTAACACAGTACAGTTGGCTCACAACCTTGAGGATGGACTGATCTTATTATTTCCTTTAATTCCTAGAGGAACATAGGGCTTCAGCTGCACGTCTCTATTGAGTTCGGTTCTCTGCTAAAGTTTTCACTTGGCTCCAGGTCTGCCCACATGCTTTCATCTCCTCTTCACATGACACCCTCTAAGTCACCCTTGGACGACCAACTCACCGCTTCCCTTTCAGGTTCCACTCGAGGACATGTCTGAGCTTATTGGCTGACATTGTCTATTCTGATTGGTTGGTGATCCGACAAAGACTAAGATGAGACAAAAGAGGATGAATTGATCCCACACTAAACCACAATATGAGTGAGAAATGATGCATTCACATAGTAACTCCATCACAAGATAAATCACACGGTTAGTGAGAAAGGATGATATACTATTTTATACTGGATCCTAAAACCACCTAGCTCGGCCAGTTCTATTTTGAGTCTTCCAAACCAAAAATTATAGGTATGTCTGTAACGACAGAATGTAAGAGACAGGCAGTAAATCATTTGTTGAGAAAATCAACAGATATTTATTAATTTTTATGTACATTATTATTCGTCATTGTTATCAGAGAAGCAACGTCTTCTGATTGGTTGATTTCCAGTTGAAGGTTATTCTGTCATCTCTTTGTTGCCTTTTCTTAGACAGTCCGGTGATATGTCTGCGAATCGTATCCGCCCACGCTAAGTCTGCTGTGATTGGTTGTTGAGTTCTTCAAGGTTAGGCTTTGTTCCTGTTTTTTCTCATGACCCCGATTTAGGACGTAAACATTGACGTAAATTGTTGTTTAAAATTTTGGCTTGCAGACAGCTCTCACCACATGTTGAGCATCAGTCATAAATAAATTCTATGGCTGACTTTTGAACGGAATAAATTTTGTCAGTACAGGGATGACAAGGTGACTGCAATAAAAGTTTACTGTCGAGTGTTGGTTTGTAGAGGTTTAATTGATTTCCAAGTAGATCACTAGCTGACAGATAGAGAACAACTGTATAAACCAGTGAGTACTTTCAACTCTTGGGTCCTAGTTTGGGTAACTTCAACAGTAGATTCCGTCAAAGTTACCGACAGGTCCATGGGTTTTCGTAACCTGAAGGTCTTGGGTTGGATCCCCAGTGAAGTCGGTGGCTCGGACTGATTAGGAGTCCGGGACGAGGACGAAACATGTGCCCTGTACTCCCTAGTGTTAAGCCGTTGTCTCACTAAAGTCAGTTCGCTATCTAAACTGGTAATTTATTTGTAAGAGCTACAACCAGTTTCATTTGAGACTCATCATAGTACTTTTGTTGCTGTTGTAACAGCAACAACTGGACCGGTTCAAAACTGAAAGAAATGATCTAATACATCATCACCAAAATATCTTGATCAGGATAATACTGGATTTACGTTTATTCTTATTGTCACTTCAGCGCACAACGATATATATCACTGATCCCTCGAATACTTTGAAGTTAAGAGAAATAAATAGTAGGATTTTAAGACAAAGACTAAACTCGGTCACTTGTAGTAGCTACTATGCAACCCGACTTATAGTTATTGAAAAAGCCAAAAGCATGCTGTGCAACAGGTTTCAATAGGACACACGTGATTGTATGTGGCCACACATACTAGGGAGAAGTATTTGTGCTTTGTGCGTGAGTGAACATATACCCAAAATGATTAGAAAATCGAATGAACTGCAAACTGTCGATAAACGTAGGTGATAAACTGCCAACTTCGTTTATACCTAAACACTTAAGTGAAATCAACACAGTCAAAGGACGCTTCGTGAAATGCGTGCAGGCGATAGCTATTCCTGAACTTATTGCCCACCCTCTGTATGTACAAAAACAGTATTATTACTCTTAACCTACCCCGAAAATCCTTGACTGAGCATATTGCCGAATGCAGTGTTACACTTATTGTTAAATCCTTCATCGTTTTGTTTATTTTAACTGACCCCTTCGTTTTTCATTTAGACTGATTTGACAGGTGTTGCGTATTACGGTAATTACTGATTACTAAAACACAAACTTAGTAAATTATAGACGCTACACAAATTCTAATAATAGTTTGTACAAGGGTTGGAATAATGCTCAGATCGAAATGGGTGGTGGTTATCTTCAAGAGCCAACCGACCCCCCCCCAACTCGCCAAGACTTTGTTCCAGTAGGCAGTGTGAGCAGCATCCTCATGGTTGCCAGTGTCTGGAATAATATAATAAAACAACGGTTATCCTCAAAGATTCATTAAGAAATATGGAAGATCTGAAGGCTCAAATATCAAACAAATCACAGTTGAGAAAAAGCCTGTCTTCCTTCAACTAGTTTTTAAAGGTGAAAACATTGCAGAAATGGTCAACAGAAGACTTAGAACGTCACTAACCAGAGCCTATTGTGCAGCTAAGTTGGTTCCCGTCCATCGTTTAGCAAGCTCTTTGGTGCAGTCAAAAGTGGACGGATACCCTTCTCATGTTAATTCCAACTGTGTATACAAATTTGTTATGTGTATCTGCGGGAGCAGTTACATTGGGAGAACAGAAAGAAGGGCACACTTCCGATTTTCTGAACATGTACCGAAAAGCCTACGTCTCGAAGGAACTAACTCTTATAATAACGCTATTACCAGACATCTCCTAGATAGAAATTGCGAAATCCTTTAAAATCATCAATAGACAAAGGAGCTCGATTCTCCTCAAGTTTGCTGAAGCAATTTCTATCAAACGCTTGAGACCAGATTCATGTGTTCAGAAAGAAGCAGTTAGCATCAGTCTTTCCTTGCCCATCCTGCTAACTGGATGTCTTTATTCTTTCTTTCATTTGATTACGTAATCTTTGTCTCTGATCTCACCCTCTCCTTTATAATTTGCAATTTTGCTTGTCTCTTGTTTCTTTGATTTGAGTTACTTTGCATCTTACGCATCTCTCGTATTTATTACGTAACTCCTTTATCATTGTATGCATACATTTATTTTGTTTTAACTTCAACTACCTGTGTAAAAACTGTATAAGCGCAATTTTCTGAGCACTGCTCACTAATTGTGGAAGCTTCTGTCAACTGACATCATGAAAACAATTTGCAAGTATGTTTAAACCTTTCTGTACACAAACCTCATAATTTATTTACTCAGGCCGTAAGCAGCTGATGAGAAGCCAACGAAATATATGATGATGGTACCATATTAGTCTGCACAAACCACAGTTGTGCATGCTTTGTTCAAATAATAATAATACTATCGTCTACAGATTCATAAGATACTTTAAACTTGTCAACTCAAAGGATATTAAAATAGAAAAAAAGAACAGTCAGTAAATCCGATTTCTTGTATTTGGTTTTTACAGGAAGAATAAAACAATGGAACCCAAGAACTGTTTTACTTTTCTAACGTAATTAGAATACATTTACTGCCTAGTTGTGTTCTGTTTGCGTCAAACAAAACCGACAAGAAGGCCGCAGAAATACTCACGTACACACACTGAACACATCATATCACAAAGGATATCTTCTATCTGTTGGCGTATTACACCTCCTTCAACATATACAATGAAGTCACACCAGTAGGTTAGTTAGTGAGCTGGTTAATTAAATTATCATATATATATATATTACTTAAGTAAATCCTGAAGAGTAGTCACATTTATTATTTTGTAAATTTTGAGGGGAAAATAATAAACAAGCGAGCAAGCAAACAAACAAACGAACAAATAAGGGAAGTCAGTATAAACGAAAAAGAATTCATTATTCAAACAGATGAATTAGATCAGAAAGGAGCACTAAGCAAAAACTACCAACAATCAGGCAAACAGACAATAAAACAATGATTATACACATAACACAAGAAAGTGGAGTTCTTCACACATTGGATACACTAGAAAACAAGTAATTGTACAATGTGTCAATTCACCTGTTCCTTACAGTTGAACAGACAAAAAGAAATGAAGCAAGAGGGGCGGGGTGTGAAATGAATACAATAGATGATATTAGAGATTATATTATAATAATAAATAATAATAGCAATAATAGTAATAATAATAATAATAGAATATTAACTTAACTTTAAATACATATACAACATGGATATACTTTTAAATTTATACACATACACACACACATACATAACAATGTGAAACATCTTGTCTCCGTATGATGAAAGTGCATTTGCCATTTTCGTCAGGAGATAACAATGATAATTTAAAAAAAAAACGGAATAAAAACACTTACTACTTATTTCTATTTTCAGTAGCAGTAAGAGTAGCGGTATTATTTATATCTTAGTAGTCTCAGAAACGATAACAGCATTTCGTCTACAGAGAAAGCAACACCCTGGAATAAAACCAATAATGAGAATAGGGATTACATCAATTGAACACTAAACGTTTCTCATAAAATGAAGGAGAGAGAAAACAAAGAGGAGGATTACTCGCATTCTTTTGCGGGGGTGGGGTGGGGAAGTGGGATGAACAATGTGCAGCGGAGGCCCGGGAGGGGAGTAAAAATGATACATGAAATGAAGGGATTTATGATCATCAGATCCGGATATTATTATTATTATTATTAGTGGTTATAGCAGTATCCAGTCAGCCGAGGATGATGATACCTGTTGTAATGAAGTAGTAACCTATACAAAATGTTTCTTTTAATAAATAAATAAAAACGCGTCAAGTTTCAACAACAGCTGACTGACTGACTGTGTTGAGTCATTTGAAAGTACAATGTCAGTAGAAATAAACATAAATAAATAAATACAAGAGAGGTAAATACACATTAAAAGTTATATGTTAACACAAATAAGTTATCCATTGAGGGGAATACTCTACACTGCATTGTAAAAAGATGTCAGAGAGAGCACTGCAATCGACTTTTTCCTTTTCACCCAAGGAAAGTCAAAAGCAAAAAAAAGCAAAATCACAGTAGCGTTATCCACAACAACAACAATGACAATAAAATAAAATAATTAAATTTCAATAGAAATTAGGTATGTATATATGTGGGTTTATATTAGTTATGCTTTTGTAGGAGTTAACCGACGACGTTTATTCGACCCAGGTTTAATCGATTTGATGACTATATTTGACTTTTTAGATATATTCTTATGAATCAATAATTGTGTTGGATCATAATCACCAAAATCTCCAGAAGAGGTGATAATTTTGTATTGTTCCGTTTTATCAGTAGTCGTAGTAGTAGTGGTAGGCACAGAGTTCCCGCCGTTAGGAATTATTTGATAGTTAGTTAATATTTCTGGTGTATTGACAGGATAAATTCCATTGACTTGTTCAACTTCAGGGGAATTGCTTTTATGCATAGAATGTTGTTGTTCAATCGGCGGCTCACTGCTACCATCTCCACGATCAGAGATTTCAAGATGATGACAATCAGCATTACCATTGGTTAAGACTGGATGATGATGATTAATTGATGGATTTGTTGTCCAATCGGCGTTATCTATGAATTGCCATTGATTTAAGTTTGATGTGTTTTCTGACCAATCTAAACCATTAGAGACATTCCCATTGATAACAACACCATTACTCGTCTGTATGGGGAATTCCTTAGAAATGAGAAAAAGTTGTAAAAAAGTACAGGATGAAAGCTGATAACAGTCTGGATAATAAATAAACTAAGAAATATAGTAGTAATATAAGAATATGTATCATATTAACGTAGGTAATTTAGATATGATGAGATGTATGATATTGACGCACTGCTCCTCCGCCTCACCAAAATGACCCGTTACGACCAAGGCTGGGTAAACTTCACTAGTCTCCTCAAAATGCTCTCTCGTGTGAGCACACGTTCATAACCCCTGACTGATAAGTCTTATTCACTGCCTTCATAGGCCGGAGGAGGTGTTCCACATAAAAGTGAGAGGGTGAATACGAACGTCTAGCGCTTACAACAGGATCGGTGGACATTCTAGTCTACCTGAATGAATTGGGAAACCTTGATTCCAAACCTATTGTGTACATGGGCTACATAATTCGGAAACACCGAATGGCGTATGAAATTGTTTAGGTCATCAGTTTTCGTGCAAATTCAGCTGGTCCACTGTCTTATGGATCAGATTTCAAGTAAAGCCTCAAGGTGGCCTTTTAAGGCGACCACCAGTTATGCTCTGGCTTGGGCGCCCGGGTACTATCTTAGCCCTCATAAAAACTATGAAAATATTTTTGTGATGCATCTCTTGGTGTTCCCTAAGGTGGATGACTTAGTCGCGAAACTTTCATTGTCTTTCGAGGCATCTTCATCAGCACATACTTCAATTGAAGGTCAAATTGAAGCATGTGCTGAAGAAGTGAACACAACGGTCAACCTAAAGAATACCGAACACGGAGTGAGAACGAAGCAGTGACCTGAGGCGTATATCATTTGTTGGATTACAGAACCTATCGTTATTACAGTGTCAGTAAGAACGCTGTGCAATACACTGAAGTGCAGATTTCATCTTGTTTTTAAGTACTGTTTGGACAATAGGTTGCTAGTACTTTAAGGTTAAGACAAATAGTAGAGTAAGGGCGTTTTATTATTGTCTGTATTTTCCATGTAAACAGATATATGGAAAGAGAACATTTCCTTATTTAATATAGATGAAACTGTTTTGATAGCTGTGAAACTCAAAAACCCTTCATCGTAATTCGGAAGTATTTTTGAGTTATGGTCTGGGGTAAACACATTTTATGTAGAATACACCTCAGGTTCTGTAATCTAACGAATAATATGCGTTCAAGGTTATTGAGGAGTTCGCAATGAATGATGCTATCCAATACAGTCCTACAGGAGGTCAACTGCGAGTCCGAATAGCTCAGTAGTAACGTCTCTGATCACACCAAATAGCTGACACGGGATCGAATCTTAGATGGAATATGATTCCCTTCACGGTTGCAGATACGTTCTGCTGACTGACTGGTGAGTGCAAACTAGCACGAAACCTAGGTCGAAGGCTTCATGCCGATTGCCTCCAACCATCTAATATCGTTATCCTTTATGTTTGCCAACACAATAACGCCAATATGTAAGTAATTCAGGCAAGCAAATTAAACTAAACCACTCCGACAAGAATAGCTAAAATATAAAACTGGATTATACGCTCGACTTTTGACAAGTGAGAAAGACACTATACTCCTATTACCTTTATCTTCATACAAAAATTTACGCAATGTCCCATCCTATGTACAAACGACAAACAAAATAACGTGATGAAGTAGTCTGAGAATAATGAATTGAAGGTGATGTCCAACTTTCATTTCTATTGCAAAGCAAGGTAGCTGTTCACGAAATGAGAGATTGATAATAGATAGTTGAAGGTGATCGACAGGAAGTCCAGACTGGCCTAGGTTTCGTCAGCAAGGCTTATCTGCAACCCTGAAGGAACTCATGTCCCTTCTGAGATTAAAACCGCGCCATTCAGTGCTGCAGTCAGAGACGTTACGTTACCACTGAACCGATTGCCTCCAACCATCTAATATCAACAATTCAAAGAGCACCATGATCGCGAGCCACTTAGAATGCTGGCCACATTGCAAACTTGAATGATGATAGAACTCAGTCTTCACCAAAAACAAAGGACTAGACACACTACACACTAGTCATTGACTAGTGTCCAATCAAATGAGAGAGTGTTTCACAATATTTCTTTTATCGAAACTTAATATATTAGAAAAGACATTCAACGAAGATTTACTATTTTCAGCGATATCATTCTCATTTAATTCAATTTTAGATTTTCCCATCGATTGATTGGACCAAAGTGCTCGGTCTCAGGTTGGCATGTCGGCTTCTTGTGCAGATGCTTCGACGATGTCTGGTCATATAACTAGAAGTCAATTGTTGGATAATGACTAGCAGTGGAGTCCAGAATAACGCGCATTTCGTCCTATTTGGGACTCGTCAGCTACTGGATGTACCTGCATTCCGCAGTGAGTGATGATGTTCCCACCCAAGCTCGAACCCAGTGCCCTAAAATTGAATTAAATAATTAATATGACCCGTTGCACAAGAGGTGGCTCTCGTGGCCCAAGTGGTCTAGTGGATAACGCTTTGGTGTTTGAAACTATGGGCACTGGGTTCGAGACCCGGTGGAAATATCATCACTCACTATGGAATGCACTTACATCCGGTAGCTGATGAATTGCAAATAGGACGAAATGCGCATCCTGGATTCCACTGATATCATTCTCAAGCTGTACAGTTGCATTTTCACAGCAACAAAAGAAATGTTTCCAAAGATGTGTCATTGAATTTGTATGTTTTTGAACAATAATTACGCAAAACAGATAGCTAAAAAAATAAAGGGTGACTCTACGCTGATTACCACTTGTTTTATATGACTTCGAGTGTTCATGCAGAGACGAAAGAGGTGAAGAATAGGAAAATGTGAAAAATTAAAACAGAATAACTAGAGTATCCAAATTTTTGAAAAATTACAAACTGTTAAATAGCTGGACACAAAAGTTTTGTTTTTTTCATCTTACTTTCTCACTTTTCTGAATAGGCAACTGAGGCTCAGGAGAAGAATTCTTCGATGAACTTTGCTGTGATAATTGTTCTGAAGAACTTTGACCAGAGGAATCCATTAAACTTTCATCGATAGTATTCACTGATAGATAGGGAGTTCCGCATACAGATACAGTTGGACCTCCACCGTATATACTAAATAACACATTCCAAACTTCTGCTGATAAACATTCATAATTACCCAGTGGAGTAGATGAAAATGATGAAGAATGATTACGACAACGATAAATTGATGAATTACATGATAAGATATCTGAGTTATCAATAGGACCTGGGGGATCTGAAAAAAAAGTGTACACCAAACAAAACAAACGAAAATATTAATGAGAATGTAATACATTACAGGGGATAGAACTGATACAGATTATTAAGGAAATTACGTAACCAACATTGCCAATCGAAGTAACTTTGGGCAAAATCAGTAATTTCCTTTTGCAAAAAAATATTTTCGTTTCGCAGAGACAGAATATACTTTTACTACAATGGGATACATGTATCGAATACTTTTTGTGATCAACTTCGAGATACGATACTTTATAAAGGTTCTACCAATAAAGTTTAACGTTGAACAAAGGCCGTGTGTATATGATAGATACATGTACGTATGTAGCTATAGCATTTAACTTTCAATGAGTTGGCCCCTTGTCCGAATTCCACAGTCTGGGTGAGCGCACACAATAAGTGTAGACTGACATACATGAAAAAACCCGATCTGGTTAGCTAACATTTAAATCCATATCTCCGTTCAACTTTACGATATCGGTCTTTCCAAAAAACGGTTATTGTAACATGGAACTTATTAGAAATAATAACCTGTTAATAGAGAACACGAAAGACTCGTGTGCCATGTACCAAATTACGCCATCTCTGGTGTAGACGTGATATCTAGCTATCGATCAAAGAACGTGTATACTGCTCAGCAGTTCCTTCCGTCCTCCCCAATGACTGTGAGTGAGACATGACTATTTAAAGTGGAAGAAATGAAAAGCCTGGCTAGCTGTCTTTGATCATAGGTGTCTGAGTTCTATCTTTAGTCTAAAGTGGTATAGTAAGGTGAGCAATATTGCGGTTAAGCTCCAATCAAGTATTAGGTAAGGAGGGGAAATCAATTGCCGAGGTTGTGAAGTCAAGCCGACTGAAATGTTTAGGATATGTGTTACTTATGCCTAGCCATCGATCGCCTTCCTCGATAATGGGCAGTGTTAGCTGGCATAAGGTGGATCAGGTTGGAAAAGAGCTAGTGTTAGTCAAACAGGAACCAGGTATCAGTTAGTTAGTTTGACTCAGCCATGTAGAGAGGGGTAGACCACGTGACTGCTTTGGGTCCTCGGGATGCCCAGGACTAATGGTGGAGACAATTGGTGATATGCTTGAAATTGTTCTCACTGGTTCTTTCGAATCTCTTTTCTTTTTTCTCTTTTTCGTCTCCCTTTGTGTCCTAAATGGAGTGTAGCAACTCGAATTGCTGCACTTCTGTGCAAAGCTCTATATTGAGACCACACCAGTGAATCACTCAGACAACAAACGAGTTTGCTATTTCATAAAAAACAAACGACATAAAAGAGTTGGAATAAAACTTTAGCCAAAACAATTGCAGTACTCATGAGTAGTACAAATATCGAAATGAATTCAATATTCCATCTGGAATCAAGTGTCGCCATAGTATATATGTGCTTTCATATGAGCAAAAAATTATCCATATGACAAAGACAATATATATAGATAGGCACATATACACTAAATATCTGAAAAGCACCCTAGTTAAACTTACCCCAAGCCTTCCCTTTGACAAACTGTAGCCATACATCCAACCATTTTTTACTAATAGCATAAGACGTGGTTGACGGGGATGTAGATGAGCAAACCTACAAAAAATATTTGTGAAATCACCATTTTAGTAGGTTAAATGAATTGTGCATAACTAATGACTTCATCATACAGCGTGGATATTATCAGTAATGGATTTAGTCGCGACATCCTACAATTTTCAGACTACGTACAAAGTATCCAAGTCGACTTCAATTATAAGTAGCCTATCTGAAATACCAAAAGGTGTTTCTACTGTAGCACCTAACTGACTAGAGGATCCTGACTACCACCGGACGGACACACCAACAAACGGATCAAAACAGAACCCTGCACAAAAAGTATAAATCCAAGTTGTCACAGATTACACAACATAAGAAAAAACTGAAGAACACGAATACAGCTGCACTTCAACAAAAGAATATGGCTTTGGTGAAATTAGGAGAAATTGAAGGAAAATTAATAAAGCTAATGGTCACTTAAGAGAAGAAAGCATTCCAAGAGAATATATGTTATTCATTCGACAGCATATTATCGTTTTCTGAAGAACACGTTCGAAAGCGGATGCTTCAGCAAACTTGAGGGCAGTTGATTTATATTGTCTATTAATAATCTTGAAGGATTTCGCAATGACCACCTCGTGAGCTGTACCAACAAGATGTTTGGCAATACTTCTGTTCAAAGTAACTGCTACCGCAGACACAAGTAAATTTACTTACACCATGAAAGTTAAAATAGGAAGGGTATCTATCAACCGTTTATTGTACCAAAGGGTAAATTGATCGGTACCAACTTAGCTGTAGGATAGGTTCTCGTTAGAGAAGTATCCAATCTTCTCCTGATTATTCCTGGGGATATGATCACAGCTATGGTTTGTTTCGCACTCAGATTTAAAGATCTTCGATACCTGCTGATGAATTTCAAAGGGTAATCGTTAAGAAGTTTTTGTTCCAGTTTTCCAGTGGAGCAAAATTCGTCTAGTTCTGTAAAACAGAGTTTTAATCAATGCTCGTTTATAGCTTATTGGACAAAAACTATTGAAACCCAAGTATAGTCCATTCCACTTGGATTTTCAGTCAATGGATCTTTGCAAACTTCCATGCCTCAAGCGTTGTATAGCAATAACAAGAAAATGGAACTTTCCATCAATTTCACGTGAAGTCAATATTTTCATAAGTGCGACTGAATAAGTTGAAGTGGTAAGTGAGTTGCATGACTTTCATTACCACACATAATACGAAAGTGTCATCAGTATTACCGACAACAGGAAGTCGTTTCATCGACCGCATCTTTTAGCTCTATGTCTGCCCAGTACGGGGCCTAGTGGACTGCCTCTACCTACACCATACGTATTATCAGAACGGAATAGTCCATCTATGATGCACATTAGTAGTAGGCGTTTAAATTCCGGTATTAGCAAAGGAAGCAGTTCAGATTACTGGAAGATGATATCGACAACTTCATGTATTGAAATCCTAGTGAAAGGGAGGTTACAACAAATGACACCATAAACTTACTGGAAACGTTCATATTGTTTAGGCTTTCGACAAAGTTGAATAAGTCTTTCAATCTATATGCCGAAATAATTTTTGACCAGTAGGCTTCAACATCTCTGTAAGCCAACGAACGACTTTCTGCTTGGGTGAGTTCAGAATAAAAAGTATCGGTCTAATGGGAATATCTTGCTTTGGTACTTTTGGCAGGCCGTATATTTTAAACATAGAAGACCCTCAAAGTTAAGTACTTAGTTAATTGGTGGATGATGACTAGTAGTGGAATCCACCAGGATGAGCATTTCGTCCTATTTGGGTCTCGTCACTTGGTCCTAGACTCAACAATATTGCGTAGACTAAGTGTGCTCGGGAGGCACAAACACGAGAGAACCAGCCAGTCACGTAGGAAGTTGTAGACTTCCTGGTTGGGGTCCTCGGGACGGTAAAAACCAATGAAGGCTGGAGACAATCGGTGATATGGCTCAAAATCGTTATCAATGGCTGGCGCAGATGCATCCACTCCTTGTGACTTATAATTTCCAATGAAACTATATTGTTCTTCGTTATTACTACTCCTTTGTCTCACACCTCAGCTTACTGTCTCTATTGTGCATTTCTTCTACTTTCCTCTCTTGCTTTGTGTGCTACATGGAGTGTGGTGACTCGAACTGCCGCACATCGGTGCAAAGTTTTATGTCGAATACAGACAGACAGACTCGTCACTTAGTATACCTGCATTCTAGATGACGAGTCCCTAATGGGACGAAATGCGCATCCTGGATTCCACTGCTAGTCACCATCCACCAATTAACTTTTAATTACATGCCCAGACATCATCGAAGCATCTGCACAAGAAGCCGACATATCAACCTGAGACCGAGCACTTCGGTCCAATCAATCGACGGGAAAATCTAAAATTGAATTAAATATTGTAAGTACTGTTGTTAATCCATCTCCTTTTAAGGAGCTCTCTCAGTATCATCAATTCTGTCTTCATTTGAATTTCCCAATTTAAACCTAAGCAGGTCGTTGAGAATGGACTCCATCTTCGTAATATAGCCTGCCTTGTCGTCAATCAACGCCATCTCTGAGATTTTTATCAAGTCTCAATATCACGATTTCATCATTATTTTTGAGAACTTTATGGTGTTCTTTAGTTAGGAATTCGAAATGTGCAAATTTATGAAATCAGATATTCACTAAACACTTTCCCTTCTATACACATGAAATCATTTACAGACAAAAGAATAACGAGTTCATGTGTGTGAGTGTGGGTTGGTGTTTTTTTCTCAACTACACTTGTTTCAAATGAAATTGATACTTTCATCAAAACAATTTGTTTTAACAAGCTCATGATTATGACGATCTTAGCGGAAAAAATGTCATTTAATGACAGAGAAAAAAAGATTCATGTGTAGGAGAGCACTAGTTAGCACACTAAGTGAAACTAACTTCTGTTGTTTTCATACGAGATATAATTTCAAAAGTATTTAATAAATTTGATTTTCTCTATATAGCTGATAAATTATTACTCTCTATCACTACTATTTTCTCTTCCTCACATTTCTGCTTACTGTCGTTCGTCTGAATCTCTTCTGTCTCCCTTTGTGTGCTACATGGAGTGCGACAACTCGAACTGCTACAATTCAGCGCAGAGTTCTATGTTGGAACCAGTCAGTTAATTGCATATAAAAAATGTTAAGTAGATATACAATGAATAGAACTATTATATAGAGATGTCACTCGTTAAGCACTGGAGTACAAGACAGCTGTTTCATCCTAGTTCGGGACACATCGGCAGTACGCATCCACCGCCAGGGTTCGAACCCAGGACCCTCCAGTTACAATTATTATTATTTATTGATTCCTTCACGTTCCCAGTGGAACATAAGGCTTCAAGCTAGAGGCTTGAAGTCTCTGTAGCAGTTGTGTTTATTTTTACGGGATGAGGATGCTAGCCTCATGTCCAACCTTTCCTCTTTACTAGCATTATTTCTGACTTAGCGAGGGAAAGGAGTGCGTTGGCCGTGGATCGAACTGCAGACCATGTGCATGGTCGTAAAGAGTGATAACCGCTGTGCCACTGACGCTCCAGTTACAAGGCGAGCTCGTATACCATTCAGCCACTGGGACCCGATTCAATGGCCAGCCCATGAAGTCCAACTTCTACCAATTCGTGATTTACCGCGTCCTAACAAGATTTCCCCCAAAAATCGTGTTCTATTTATATAATTAAAAGGCGTCAAAAAAATTTGAACAATTCATTCAATCAAGTGTATATAGGTGTCAACCAGAAACCTTTTCACCAACTGGTCTTGTATATTTCCTTACAACAACAACAACAACACCGACAACAAGATAATATGAGAAAGAAAAAATTTTTTTGATATAGCTACTTAGCTGACTCACCCTCATCACTTCTGAAAGTTCATATTTCTGCCTTTTGGTTATAGCATCACAACAGTCAGTACAAGGAATCAATTCTCGAATAATTTCATGACCTCCAAACCTTATTTTTAAAAGAAAGAAATATATAATAATAATAAGAAGAACTAACTTTTGCTATATCCCATAAAATCGATCCTTACTTATCCACAGTTCATTGAGATTGACTAAGACAAAACCATATTTATTAACATATGGAAATATATTATAATCACACAAGATGAATCGATTCAATTTCTTAAGAGAATGAGCAAAAGGATGCTGTGAAAAAGCCTGAAGTATAACAAAAATGTATTAATTATGGAAGGTGAAAAGAATTACTACATTTCTAAACGTTACATCAACGAGAAAAGGAGTATCAAATAGAAACTGTGTACTGCACTGGACAATGCATGTTGTAACGATGTAGAAAAGGGAACATTACATCAACAAAATAATAAAAAAAAGACTGTCTGTAAGTAAAGATTTGAGATAGATAGACATTCAGTTAGGGAGTTAGTTAGTTAGTCAGCAAGGGAACTGCTAATAACAAACAGGTATATACATCAATCTGAGTTGGAAAATCTCAGAGACAGGAATGAGACCCAGTGGATAAATGGTAGTGTATTGTATTGAATTCAAAAATTCGCGAAATAGTGAGGGTGTGTACCGCCAAAATCACAAACTAAGACAAAATAGCTGTCTAGTGAATTCCTACATCAAATTAGGGCAAAAAAATACCTCGGCAAAAGACATTTTTAATCCAAATAAAAACTGACTCAATAAACAGACAAATATTCAAATTATAAGCTTTTGTAGGTATCTGAAATAACTTCAACATAGATTTCACCATAAACTAGGACAAGTTAAACAGATCATTGAAAACTAGAGAGCACTGGACAGTTGTTTGTTTCTGAATGCAAGGAACTGATCTTGACGCTGTACTGTACAGTTGTCCGAAACTTTCATGACACTCATAGTCACAGAACGCCCCAAAGACAGTAGACAGACGATTATTTTTCGATAAAGCCAAGTACGGTTCTATTCAACAATAGTAACACTGGAGACTTAAAATTGCCTCCACAGAGCCGTTAGGCAGACGATAAGTTTCTAAACATAAAACAAGTACTGTAGAACAAAATTACTTAGCCAAAATTCAACTGTAAGAAGTACCCAAGAATGAAGTAGAATATTCCCAAACAGATGGAGGTCAAACATTCTATTCACAATAATCAGACACAAAGGTTTCCTAAGGATAGTTCAAGGTCTGAATCACATTGATTCACTCAAACAAAATCTCAGTCGTAAAACGACACACTACCAATACATCCCAGAGAGAAGTATTAAAATTAGTTATTAAACAAGGGGTAAAGACAAATAGTAAGGATCAAGTTGATATACGAAATGCAAATATCAGAACAATGACATACAGTCCAGGAGAAAAATGGATAATAATTGCAAAGTTAGTTGAAACATTCAAATAAGCATCAATATTGTAATTAGATCGTTCAGACGGGATTTTCCAAACAATTTCTCTATTACAGTTTCACATTCTAGCTTCCGACGCCAAGTAGTGTGCATCCACAACTGCACTAGGGATCAAACCCTTCAGAACCATCACGTGAGTCATGAAAAAATCCAAATTGCAAAAGATTTATGTTCATAAATGTACAAATAAACCACTAAATATCTGAGGCAAGTTGACGTGGACTAAAGTAAGCCAACAAATACTGGCTGAAAATAGTGTGCCAAATGGTAACACACGTCTCCATTAGTGTATAAGTTAGTAAACAATATTGGTTGAATAATCAGAATGGGCTAACACACTCCAATGCAGTCTATTTAAAGCAATTTCAACTTACATCTACAAGTATATATATATATATGTATAAGTGGTAAAAAGAGGTACGCTTAATACGACGATAACAAGTTTCTTCAGTAGATTTAATTTCAATAAGGGGTTACTTTAAGATAAAAATTATAGACTAAAGAAAAAACGAATTGTTAAAAACACCGTTGTAGAGAAGAAAATTTTCTTTTCGACGAAGTCATCATCTAGGCTGTGCATTCGTGTATTTATAGTAAATGCATGAGATAGTTCCAGAATTAGAGGTGAAGTTAATAAAATTACAAAGTGTAATAATCAGCAAGATCGGGTAGAAAAGACATCATAAAATCGGATCTTATATATGGCTTTGAAGGACTTTTCACATGGGGCCGAATGTCCAGAATTCACCAGATGTTCTGTTATCGAACTGTATACCCCTTTGCTAGTCATGCTGGATAGTGTTCCCGCGCGCGTTTTACAAGCGGACGCATGGTACGGTCAATGTAGTCAGCTCCACACGAGCAAGTGAACTTGTATATGCATGTTGAAGTGACCCAATACGACAGCTTGTCTTCCACGTATTGGGTGAGTAGTTTATTGCAGGAGAGTGTTATTCGTAAGCTGGTGGCGAAGTATGTTTTACTGAGAGACTTCGAAAGTCGTCTATGGAGAATTTCTACTTCGGTATCACTTTTAAATTCGAGGTTCAATATCACCATCTTTTGGGGGGGGGGGGCGACTTGGACGTTTTCAGGTGTTTCCGTGTTTAGTACATTCACTTTTGACGTTGCATCACAAGTGCTAAGATTTGCATTTGAATTGGAGATAGTGGAACATCACAATAATTGAACACGTATTTTTCTGAACGAGTAGAAGGACGGTTTCTTTGGTAACGGATTTAAGGCTTTGGTTTAGTTTCATTATGACATCATCTGTTCTTTTCTTTGTAACCGTATACGAGTAGTTTTCGAATGATGTTCTTTCATCTTCAGATAACTCATGCAGAACGTGGGAGTTTTTGAGATATTCTGCTCCATTTCAGGTAGTCTTGATTTGCAGAAAATTTTCTTCGCTGCAACCGTCTTAATAATTCCTATGATCCAATGTGTGCGTCGGTGGCGCAGCGGTTAGGACTCTCGCCGACCATGCACATGGTCCGAGGTTCGATCCCAGCCGACGCACACCCGATAACTATAGTCGGCCTGCTAAATTTGGGCTACCGATATCACATGCTGAAAATTTCATACTTGTACCAAAATACTGTGTGGAATCAAGCTATAATAAAATAAATTTTTAAAAAATATATTCCGTGATTTGAAGAGAAGCAAGGACCAATTGACGGTAAAGGGACTGAACAAGTTTCTACGTTTGTCCGTCAAGCTTACTGAGGCGAATGCAAAGATTTTCTCCTTGAAGAATTGCCTTAAGAAACATGAATATCCCAAAGTATTCTGGAAATCACATATCGCCTAACTCACGAACACTGAAACGACACACTCTGAATTACATCGATGCAGTTCGATTGGCTGTACCATGCTTCCGCTTGTAGAACGCGCGCGGGAACACTACCTAGCAAAGGGGTATACAGTTCGATAACAGAATATCTGATGAATTCTGGACATTCAGCCCCATGTGAAAAGTCCTTCAAAGCCACATATAAAATCCGATCTAACCTACCAAAGGGAGTGAAATCAAGACATCTAGGAATAGCTGAGGCACTGGCGATCCAAAAACTGGAGCCTATTTTATGTGTCCGAAAGAAATACGCGCAACCGTTTTCCCTACCATGGCCATCATGAAAAGTCAGTCTCATCAATAATGATTATCGCATTACCTTTTTCGTCCAACCTTCCTGTTTATTTATTATATTTGTCTTTTAAATCCCTACCTGCATTATTGGATTTGATTACTGTTTTTATTTTTATTTTTATATGTCCGAACCTCCTAGCAACCATTTCGTTAATACTACATCCTTAACCCGCATTTATACAAACTGACTAGTTTTCTAGTAATTATAATCCTATTTTGCCTTTTCCAGCCGATCTTCCTGATTATTACAAATTGGAATTTTTAATTTGACATTTGGCCTGAAATATTTCTAGAATAGTGCCATTACTTATCTATCTTCTGTTTATTACACTTAGTAGTTTTATTAATCTGACCTCTGACCGGAAATAATTCTGGAACTTTCTCACACATGTAATGTAAGTACATGAATGTATAGCCTAGTTGATAACTTTATGGACAAAAAAACGTATTCCATTGAAACATTTCTTGATAGTTAACTGTTTGATGCTATAATCAGTCAAAATATAGAGGAAGCACCCAACCGTTAATTTGATGATAGTAATAATAATAGCTTTATTCTGAAAGGTGTTTATGTAATGTACCCAATGTTCAGCGGGAAGTATTTCATAGTTTCTCTTTGTCCAGGATCTTCAAGTAAAGTATTAATCGATAGCAGACTGTTTGACATATTGCTCCCTTCTGACCTGAAGCGAAGACCAGTCCCCTTTTTTATATTTCTTCTTTGCCTCCCTCATTCGACAAATGTACAATATTTGGTTGAAAGCCACTTAAGAAAGGCGCAGGAGTACATTTTTTAACCCAAGAACATATTGCCAGCTGAATAATTGAAGACTGTGGGTAATTAGTTTCATTTCTCAGACATTAGAAGTTTTTAATAAAAATCTCAGGAACAGGTATCTCATTTATTGGGATGCGTTGCTGCTATACAAGATTTTGCTTTTTCCCAAGTTTAGTAGAAACTTAGCGAATCAGCAGGTTGTAGACAGTTTAAATACTCGCGAGAGTAGAAAACACCATTAGAGGTTATATTTTAAGAGGTCAAAAGAAACTGAACATGAGAAATTATATGCAATGTGATGACGGAGTATTTTGATAGCCGAGGTTTTAAACAGACCCTCGATCAACAATACACCTACCTGTGTAACTTATCATTAGTGGTTAATTAATGAATGATGTGTGGAGATGGAAACTTTGAGATTCAAGAAAATAAACAACAGATTACATAGCAGCCGGGTCCAATTTAAAGTCAATTATAATCCAGGATAATCAATCTTGAGTTGTCTGTGTGAAAAGAAACTAAACACAGAGAACTTTTAACTATTTAGGGTATGACTGTCTATAGCAGAACATTGAGGTAAACTTTTCGATGTAACGCTATGAGATCGTTCTTATTTGGAAACATCTGTAGGTAAAAAAGCATGATAACAATCCAAACAATTAACTACACACGTAGTGTTACATAAATACCACTCATACAATTACAAAAGAACAAGAGCATGATAAGTAAACCTGTGGCATGTACTACTGAGGAGACTTATCAGTAGTATGTGTGAAGAGATGTTCATCGATATAAAAAAACATCAAATGGCAGAAAGATAGATTTGATGACAAAGAAAGCAAATGATATGAAAGAAGGCCAGAAGCAGCACAACACGGAGGATCTGTGCAAAGGGCGATTTGAAGATAAGGTATACATAATTTCACTATATAGAGATACCAAATTGCAAATAAACATTCCTTTACTAAGATCTCTCATCTTCTATCGTCACAAGGACACGGAACAACTTACACTACACTTCACAAAGTAAACATGAACACAATTCAAACACAATAGTGTTACATGAAGGCATTGTACACAACTTAAGGCAAAAATAATTCTACTTACATATTATGAAGATTAGACCAAATATTTTCTGGGATAGATAAAGTCAGTGCATTGCGTAATTCCCATAGCTCTGGTCGAAAATAACCATGTTCACATAGAAATTCTGATGTCATAGGACCTGGTTCAGCCCATGTCCAAAATCGAATAATCCAAGGTTTACTTACATAGCACATTTTACCAGCTGGAGTAAGCTATTTTAAAAAAGAATGAAAACACAAAACTAAGGTGAATTAAAAGAATCTAACCATCAAACAGATTAATTTTAAGATGAAAATTGGAAAACCATCGTTAACAGGTAAAGGTTGAATACACGTATGAAGCAGATTTTAATGTTTAGTATATACTTAAGTCTACTGCAAAGCATGTGTAAACCTTTTCTAATGAAACATTACTGTGTTTAACTACAAAGTACACTAAGACATTTGGAAGCTTATCACACCACTCGATCGTCGAGGATGGTGGAGTAAGTGAAACACAGATACACATCGACGTGAGTCAGCTTGAGCTTAGACTAACACTTCCCTAAAATGTTAACACTCTATGGTTGGAATTAAAAAGGTGTTAAGAAGAAATTGTGTTGAACATATAGCACTATCATATCCACACACATTTTCACAGCTTCGTTCCTCTCAAGTATAAAAAAATTTAGTAGAGACCCTCAGCCATAGAGTCAGAGCTATATGCTCAGAAGAAGTAACTGAAGATAAATTAAGCATTGTATATGATGCCTTAATTGAAAATAGCTATCCCGACAAATTTATCAAGAAAAATATGACAAAGAAAGCGGAAAATGACTACTCACTATCCGTAAACAAGAAGCCAGTTATCAGTCCATGAAATCTTAGACAGTTAGTTTGAGTCACTTAAGGAGGTGTAGACTTCCTGACTGGTTCGGGTCCTCGGGACGGTAAAAACCAATGGCTGAAGACAATCGGTGAGATGGCTCAAAATCATTTTCGCTGGCACAGATGCATCCACTCCTTATAATATCCAATTAAACTATATTGTTCTTCGATATTACTCTTCTTTTTGCCTCATATCTCTGTTTGATATCTCTCTTTTGAACTTCTCTCTACTCTCTTGTCTTGCTTTGTGTGCTACATGGAGTGTGGCGAGTCGAACTGCTGCACATCTGTGCAAAGTTCTACGTTGAAACCATTCAGTAAGTCAAAACTAAAGTGCCTGAAGTTCCCGGAGGGGTCAGGTGTTACTCGTGTCTACTTCAATATACAATATTAATGGGACAAGGTTAAGAAGAGGATCGATACTAACACAAATTAACATAAGCATAAGAAAACTTCTGAAGGATAACAGTCACAGTTGAGATAACAAGAGACAGTTATATTTGAATGATGAAAGGCTTCAAAACTTCACTTCACATTGAAGTAAGAAAGTCTAATTTACTGACTAGAGGGGCAAAGGAAGTTTCTCAATTAAACTACCCAGTTCACAAAGCACAACCACAACCAAGAAGTGGGATTAGTTCTCAATAGATTACACAGTGAGTAGATTCGGACATGATATAAGTCCTTGAGTTCATTGACTATAGGTGATGTGAGTATTGTAAAGAAATGCAGAAATCCAACCATATGACTACCGAAACCGTTTACAGACAGTCTGAGTAATGTGCCTCAAGATCGGGATCGATGATATCTTAACTGTAATATACCGGCTTTGACCTATTTTCCTTTTGTCTGATAGCAGTATACAACCACGTTTAATTTCAACTTGTTTCTAGTGTCTTTTACTTAATGTACGATAGGCGGTATTTAGGACGAGGATACAGTAATACCAGGCCCCATATGTTGATGATAATGACTGGCTGATATGCCAAGAAAAAGTCGTATAATCACATGACGGGATGGAATCTCACAATATGAAAAAAAATTTTCTCTAAATAATCATTTTGCACACATACTTGCCACGACTGCCGAAGTGGTTCCAAGTGGGTATCACGTTTGCTGAAATAGAAAGATAGAGAAAAAACAAGAATCACTTCAGTGAATGACAAGCTCGGATACATCAAGGAATGAAAAGTTCCTATTAATATTCATTTCAAAATATGTAAACATATAGTGGGCATATTAATCAGTCATCAAAATGTACTTGGTGAATATGAATATGATTAATTTATGAAGATACTACATCAGTGATGCAAGATATGTTGCGAACTAGAGACAGGCCTCCTGAAGAGGTTAAACCAAAGATTAGGGATATCAGGTAGCACAAATTATGGCTGAGTTTAAAAATATATGAACGGTTAAGGAAGAGGCGGAATAAATCAGAAGTCATAATGCATTTTTATATTGCTATTAAAAAAAAACATTTATACATACAGCATTGATTTAGTACTAAGTTTAGGAGA